AGCTCACAGGTGGTGTCCACAAGGGAGGGGAAAAAAGGGAGACTCGGGTGGCCAAAGAAAGAGAGAAAAAGAGAAAAAGACAGGACACTCGCAGGTGATATCAACAAGGAGGAAAGAAAAATTGAACACTCGCAGGTGGTGTCCAAAAGAAAGAAAGAGAAAGAACAAACAAACAGGACACTCACAGATGTTCACAAAGAATAAAAGAATAAAAAGGACTCACAGGTGGCGTCCATAAGAAAGAAAAAAAGAACAAACAAGCAAGACACTCACAGATGTCCACAAAGAAGAAAAGAAAAACAAATAGGAACCTCACAGATGGCGTCCACAAGAAAGACAAAAGAAAAAACAACCACACAAATCGACCACTCACAGATGACGTCCACAAGAAGAAAAGAAAAAAAATAGAGCATCCACAACATAGAAAGACAAAAGAAAAAAACAAAAACAAACAGGCCACAAAAAAAGAAAAAATGGAGCACGAAAGAAAAGAAAAAGGAAAAAGAAAAAACAGGCCATAGAAGAAAAGAAAAAATGGAGCACGAAAAAAAGACAAAAACAACAACAAAAAACAAAGCCAAACAGGCCACTCACAGGTGATGTCCATGACTGTGACGGTGATGATGAAGCAGGTGAGAGCGAAGACCAGGAACGCGATCACCTTCAGGAGGGTCTTCTCGTTACTGGAGCGGTGGCGCCACGCCATCTCGGCTTTGTCGCGGCTGCGGGAGACACGGGAGGTCAGTGGGGCGCTCGGCTCGCCTAAGTGGCGGGGGTGAACAGGGGGAAGGGGGAGGGGTGGAGAGGGGGGAAGGGGTAGGGGATGGAGAGGGGAAGGGATAGGGGTAGACAGGGGGAGGGGGTGGGAGTGGAGAGGGGGATGGGGTCGGGGAGGGAGAGGGGAAGGGGCAGGGGATGGAGAGGGGAAGGAGGGAGGGACGAAAAAGGGGTTGGAGAGAGATGGAAGGGGAGGGGGAGGGGGTGAGGGGGAAGTGGGCGAAGGAAGGATGGGGTGGAGGGGGCGGGGAGGATGGAGAGAGAGAGAGAGAGAGAGAGGGGGGGGGGGTGAGAAGAGAGCGGGAAGTACCTCATATTTACTGATTATGAGATTGAGTGAATGAAGGCACGAGAGCACAGTTTTGTTTTCTTTCTTTCCCTTAAATTCACCGACATGAGCAGCAATCCCGCCCTTAGCAAGTGGATCCCAAAAATGCTTGCAAGACAGAGCTGCGGTCGCCATGGAAACTTCAATAAACATAATAACAAAATCTTGGACTGAAGTTCAGATCACGACAATAATAAATATACCTCGGATGCCAGAGGTTGTTGAGTTATCTACTCTAGCGCACACAAAGATACACAACACGTACACATGTACACATACATACGTATACACACATGCACATATTCTTACACATACATATAAACTTACACATACGCACACATTCACAAAAACACACATGCATACAAACAAAATAATATACAAGCACACATGTACACATCCTCAGACACGAAAAAATATGCGTGCATTTACACACATGTGGAAATGTATTCCCAGAGATAAAGGATGTCTACTCCCACAAATAAATAAATAATAATAATAATAATAAGTAAAAGGGGAAATTGTAAAATTATAGGGTTTCGTCAGCTGGCACGTGCCCTCTCCACCAGCTGCCTGCTAAACGGGGGAAAACTTTCACTATGCACGTCATTCAGCTCTCGAATCTAGTCCATGCATGAGGTTTCTGAATGAAGTCAATAGACGTAATATTTCTTGGTTAATTCTAAGAATAGTCATGTTCTAAAGTCATGTTCTTGAGTCAATTCAGTGAATAAAGTCATGTTCTTGAGTCAATTCAGTGAATAAAGTCATGTTCTTGAGTCAATTCAGTGAATAAAGTCATGTTCTAGAGTCAAAGCCATGAATAAAGTCACATTCTTCAGTCAGTTTAATGAATAAAGCCACTGTTCTTGAGACAATTTCATGAATAATATTATGTTCATCAGAAAGTTCTACGTGTCATGAACAATACGAAAAAAAAGTTCACGAATACGTTTTGCAGTCCTCGAATAAACTTAAAAAGAAGAGTCCAGAATGCAGTACATGTAAGATCGCCGACTGTAACACACCTGTTCACAGAGTACACACAAATTAAGATATTCCTACACCCAGAAGCGGATGTACACAAACACACAACCACAGCAGCAGACGCTTCCAGTCCCTTGCTGTTGCAACAAACCATAGCTTATAATCATATCATGATATGGATTATATATCGTGATACTGCGCTTGCGCATTTTATGCTGAGAACAGGGATGTGTGTATGGCAGTGAGTATATAAGTATGTATATATACATGTTATATAAATATAATATTTATGTGTGTATATATATATATATATATATATATATATATATATATATATATATATATATATTTGTATATATATATATATAATATATATATATATATATATATATTATAATATATAATATATATATATATATATATATATATATATACATACATATACATATACATATACATACATATATATATATATATACATATATATACATATATATATATATATATATATATATATATATATATATATATATATATATATATGTGTGTGTGTGTGTGTGTGTGTGTGTGTGTGTGTGTGTGTGTGTGTGTGTGTGTGTGTGTGTGTGTGTGTGTGTGTGTGTGTGTGTGTGTGTGTGTGTGTGTGTGTGTGTGTGTGTGTGTGTGTGCTTGTGTATACAATTATAATCACACACACATACGCATACACATATGCATAACCATTCTTCGAAGGCCTTATCGCCGCTTTCAAACCGGCAAATCTTTTCTCAAGAATCCTTCTTCGCACTTAACGGGCGTCACATGTAGGCCTATTTCGTCGGTTCCGCCAATTCCCAACCGCTTCGGGAGGCAGGCACACGCCCCCCCCCCCCCCCCCCCAGTGCCACGGCTGCGATGCGTTGAAGTCAGCGGCGTGTGTGGTGACCAGCATATATGTCGCTATACATAGCCTCGTTAGACTATTAGTCATCACCTTGATACGCGTTCAGAGAAGGACCGCGGGAACATCCTCAGCTGAAGAAACGTGCACAAGGAAACTGCATCCGACGCTGTTTTTGGCCGTGGCGGTCATTTTGTAGTTATCTTATTTCGATGCCTTTATCAAACACAACACGGGTCTCTCAGAGGTGAATGGCAGGCCGTCGCAGATAGGAACGTCAACAATGCCACTTGGTTCATGCCTTAATGCCCTAATCACTCCCTGACCTCGCTCGCCATTCATTTAACCTGCCCCCGCCTGTCGCACCTGTACCTGAGTGTCCGGCGCGCACCCACTGCCAGCCCTCGCCGCCCGTGCGCTCTCACTCACCGCTTGTGCGCCCAGGTGTCGGCCGCGAGGTCGGTTCTCCGCATCTCCATCGCTCGCCACTTGGGTTTAGGTGACTGGCACCGCTGTGCCCGCCTCGCGCACTTGGAGCCGCGTTATGCCCAATGCATGGCAACGGCCTCGCCCCTCCCACACGCTCATGACAGCCCTCATTGCCATTTCCACACGCCATTCGCCCTCATCGCCATGCTCCTCCTCCGACAATTCTGGTCATCCTGGCGCGTTGTTTGCGAAAGAGGGAAGGACACGCACCCGAGGATTGCGGAAAAAGCTCCAGAATCATGGCACGCAAGTCTTTGAAGCGGCGTGCAAGTGCGTTCATCAGGAAACTAAAGAGAAGGAAAAAGAGTGTCCACACTATTTACACATATGTAAGGCGTAAAAGGAAGACTTATCTCCTCTTCAGGTGTTGCAGCGTGAAAAGGAACCCCGTTGGCTCGCCTTGCCTCGCCAGCGGAAGAAAGCGGCACGAAATAGTAAACAAAAGACCCCGCCAAACGAACACCATCGCGGCCTCGGCTTTGCCTCAATGAACGATTAAAGATACGAATCGTCCTCTTTCCAACTCGTCTCTTGCCTGTAATTTTCAAATAAAAAAATCGCGCCTACACGCCTGCACGAAAATAAAATTCAGGCCTCCATGATTGCCGCCTAGAATTTTAGTTTTGTTTCGGAATCGTTAGAGAAACGCCAGGCGTGCGACGTCGCTCTCGGACGCTGTTCACGCTTCGCTGTGCATTCGCCGAGGTTCGGGATCCATTGCACTAAAGCAGACACGATTTTCCTCATGTCGTCAATCTCCATTTTCTTCTCCTTTCTGCAGTATCATGTTATTCCAAGGTCGTTCTTTTGTGCAGGTGCAGTAAGAAAAAAAAAGAGAAAGAAAGAAAAAGAAACTTCCAATTGTGGGTCACGATTGGCAGAATCACTAACATGTTCAGTAATAACCGACAGATGTTATCTAAATTCAACATTTGTGTAAGTCTGTCTGTCAGCCTTTATTTCAACAATGTAAAAAAAATATTCTCGCTTTCAACCCAGTTCTCGCAGTGGGTTGGACTCGACAGGGAATAACGTTTTTCCTTCTCTTAAGCGGTGCAAAGGCAAAATGCAGAACAGAGGGTGAACAGAAAACGCCCATAAGAGGTTTAGGGCAACAGGCGAGGGTCTGCTTCGTCAGTGGGTGCCCACTACTGCGCACGCACGCACGCACGCACAAACTGTTGAGTTTTATTATCATTGTTATTACATGCACACACAAACACCTACTTGCGTACTTACATGCATTCATATATATGTATATAATATATATATATATATATATATATATATATATATATATATATATATTATTATATATACATATATATATATATATATATATAATATATATATATATATAATATATATATATATAGATAGATAGATAGATAGATATATGTTTATATGTATATACATATATATACGTCTATCTATCTATATCTGTATAATGCATATTTGTATATATGCACACACACACACACACACACACACACACACACACACACACACACACACACACACACACACACACACACACACACACACACACACACACACACATATATATATATATATATATATATATATATATATATATATATATATATATATATATATATAGCGAATTCTAAAAGCAGACAGAGTGACGTGGGAAAAGTCCGGCGAAGGCCTATGTCCTACAAAGTCAAATCCAAAACACTTCATTCCACTAATTACAATGGCAATTCTCTATATAAAAGAGGCAGAAAGAATAGAACAGAATATCGAATTGAGAATAAGTATAGCTTCCTCATCACCCGAATCCGCTCCTTGCAAACGATGGAAGAAGGAACAAAGGGAGGCATTGCAGCAGCCGTTGCAAGAAGCCCGGGTCGCTGGGTGAGGCACTTCGCACTCCGGGGCCGCCATAACACTGCAATACCACCACCGTCCACTCGGCACCACTTGCAATTGCAGGCTTGTGCGTCGTAGCTTGGCTTTTCCCTGGTATGGTGGGATGTGGTGTCTTGGTATGGGTGAGAGGCTCGCTCGATGTCTGGGCGGGGGGGGAGGGGGGAGGGGGGGGGGGCAGGAATTCGGAGTGAGGTACACATGCACCTAAACACACATACGCACGCTTACACACACACATGCCCATACACACACACACACATGCCCATAACACACACACACACATGCCCATACACACACACACATGCCATACACACACACACACGCACGCTCACACACATACATGCCATACACACACACACACGCCCACACAC